GGTTCCTTCTACCAAAATCCATTCCTTGTTTTTCTTGTCATGCACACTTCTAATGTCAGGTCTGTTTGCTCCGTCTTTTGGGGCTTTCTCTGTGCCATGGGATATCCCATAGAATCTTGACATCGTCATTTTCTTGACTAGGCTGTGTTGTAGATTGCTTGTACCATGTTAGGGAGTAATTAGATTGTTCATGTCTATATTTGTTAAGTAATGCGTGGTAGATTGGGCGTAGCATTCTGTCATGTCTTTGTTTGTATAACGTTTGTGCTAACTTGGAACATCTTCCGAGGATGTGTGAAGCAGCTTCCTGGTTCTCCGAGCAGATTCGACAAGTTAGGTCGTCTATGAGTTCTTGTAGTTTGTGCATTCTATACGTTTTTGTGTTTAACAGTTGTTGTCTAATTAGAGTGTCTACTGATAGAACTATATCCGGGACATTCTTCCACTGCTTGAATACGTCATAGGTGGAACGTGATATTTCAGGGTCACTCCATTGTTGACTTTCGAATTTTCCTAGACAGGGCTCAGGTGCTGTACTTCGTTATTTTGCTTGTCAATGTTCGCCTTGTGAATGATGTTTTTCAGTTTTTGTGGTTCTTCGTTACTTACTCGTAGTTCTTTGTCGCCATTCCTCAGGACAGTTGCATTGTCATCAAAATCACAGTTAATGCTTAGCTCTTCAGCATACTTTTTTTGCATCTTTAAAAGATCGATCGTAGATTTCTCCCCTCTTTTTCAATTGAAATGTCTTAACGAGTTTGATGTGCTGGTCTTTGGAATTGTTGATGTAGTTAGCTACCTTCAATTTCGTGTTCTTGTAAATGGTTAGTCTAGTTCGATCGGGCCTTTCCCTCGTTCTGGCTGTAGGTAAAGTAGAAATCTTGATTCATACTTGTGCTTCCCACTGCAATCATTGATCATTTTTCTTGTGAGTCTATCAAGTTGTTTGTGGTGGTTGACGCATTAGTCGTTGGTCTACATATAATACTATAAGACAGGTACGGCAAAAACATTAGTAGCGCGGACGGTTGCGTGGTATTGACAGTGGAGAGGTCCAAACAGTCCAAAGTCGATTCTCGCACTCCTTCTAAGCCTCTTCAATAACTTTATCTTCTAGATGCTCAGTGCTCTGACACTTTCCCAGGAATTTATAGTGATCTTCGTTACCTATAACTGGGATGGAGGTGTTACTTACAGGCATTTCAGTGATGTTTTCGTATTATCATTATTATTATTTTTTTAAAAATTATTA